TCTAACCCCACTTCATCCCTTCCACCAATATTGGAAATTTTGGATCAGTTTAGCCAACTCTCTGGTTATAAATTGAATTTGCAAAAAAGCGAGCTATTTATTGTTAACTCTTTAGCAAAGTCCCTTCCGCAGTCGATCTTTCCCTTTAAAATAGCATTAGGGGGATTTAAGTATTTGGGAGTATTCTTCACCAACTCATTTAATGACGTTTTCTCCAAAAAATTTCAGCCTCTGCTGGACAAATTTAAATCAGATATAACCAGGTCGGCCTCCCTTCCATTGTCGCTTATGGGCCGTGTCAGCTTGATTAAAATGGTCACCCTCCCTACATTGTTATATACTTTTCAACATATCCCAGTGGTCATTAGTAAGTCTTTTTTTGTCAACCTTGATCATCTGCTGAATGCATCTATATGTGACAACAAAGCTGCACATCTCAGAGGTCAGTTCTCCAGCTTTCAAAGACTGAAGGAGGCTTGGTGCTCCCTAACTTTCACTACTACTATTGGGCTTGTAACATCCATAAATTACTTTACTGGGCCTATTGGAAAGCCCTAAACAGTCTTCCACCTTGGGCTCATATTGAGATCTTGTCCTCCCGTAGCTCTCTATATGCTGTACTTTGCTCCCAGCTTCCCATATCTGTTAACAAAGCTTCTACTAATCCGGTTGTTACCAGTACTATCAAAATTTGGCTCCAATTTAGGAAACATTTTGGTTTTCATAGTGCCTCAATCCATATGCCCATCCTAAAAAAACACTTGTTTCCTCCATCCTGCTCCAGCCCTGTTTTCCGCATCTGGTCAAGTAACGGGCTTAACACAGTTTTCGAGTTCTGTAAGGATGGTGACTTTTCATCCTTTTCAGACTTATCAACTAAGTTCAATTTACCCGATAGTCACCTCTTTCATTTTTTTCAGGCCAGACATTTGATTCAAAAGCTTTTCCCCCACTTCCCCAACTGCCCCCCTGAAACATCAGTTTCTTACTCTTGACCATTCCCAGGAGCGACTCATATCTGTTATTTATTATTTAATTAATTCTGTAGAGGTAGCACCTACTGAAACTCTTAAAAAGTCCTGGGAGGAGAACTTGGGAATTACTATTTCAGACGACCGCTGGCATCCTGGACTGGGTACATTCCTCATCCATGGCCTACTGCAGTGTAAGGTGCTCCAAGCTCACTTTACTACTGCTAGGCTTAAATATAAATAAATAAACCTAAATATAATACAGGCAAAACAATTTCCGAATCGAAGAGATGCTTGTGAGAGATGTAAACAGTCTCCACGTGCTGACCATGTGCACGTTTTGAACAAGCCCCCGACTTACTAGTTTTTGGTCTAATATATTTGACACTCTCAATCAAGTCCTCAGCTGTAATTTAGGCCCTAATTCCTTTACAGCCCTATTTGGCATCACCCCTGATTTGTGCCTGTCTGCTCCTTCCCCTAATGTTATTTATACATTTGTACACATTGTAGTTTATTATTTACATTTATTATTATTTATATATTGATTTTGACCACTCTTGCTCTGGTAGATCTTCTTTTTATCTCTGCCAGACCCCCAAGAGCAGCTTTAGTGGGAAGGATGGGTTCTAGGGGGATGGGTGGGTCAAAGGGTAAGGGATTGATGCAGAAGCATACTTTTTGTTGTCTCACTTGAACAATGTTTGTGATTATACAAAATGCAATAAAAACATTAGAAAAAAAAGCAAAAAACAAAAAACAAAAACAGAGAGATCATATCACTCCCCTTTTGAAAGAACTGCACTGGCTACCTGTATCTTTTAGGATAGATTATACTTTTTTGCTACTAGTTTTTATGACCTTAAAGCACCACTTACATCACAGAGTGTCTGTCTGTTTATGTTCCAGCATGCGATCTTAGATCTGCAGTTACTGACCTTCTACAAATACCTTCAGAAAACATGGAGAGACTTGTTCAGTTATTATGCTTCTAAACTGTGGAACTCAATTCCACCTTTATTACAGTCCAGCTCAGTGCTCACTTTTAAGAAGCATCTAAAAGCATCTTTTCTTATTTTTTTGTCTCTTGGTATTTATCTTTTTAATTTGATCTGTGTCATTGTCTTATATGATTTTAAATTAATACTCATAGTTTCTTCTATTACTGTTAGGCTTATCACCTGTCTGTAGAGCACTTTGAGTTGTCACCGGCAATATTATTATTATTATTATTATTATTATTATTATTATTATAAATTAGTGTGCTGGAAGTGTTTTACCATCCTTGTGTTACATTTGTCTTCTGATAATCTGGCCCTCATTTCCCCCTGTGAGTTTAGTTTCCCTCTCCAATGCTACAATATGTGTTTAATTCTGGTAAAATCTTAGTGTAAAAAATGAAAAAAATAATGCTATTGCTAGCTGCTAGATACTGTTCTTCATGACTGGCTTGCACTTCTTTTAGTGTCAGTTAAGGAATTAGTCTGCAGTTTGACTGGAAAAGGACACCATAAAACTTGCGTGGAACCTTGTAAAGATGTCTTGTGGATGTTAATATTAGGCGTTTAGGAGACGGCAATGGTCATATAGAAATGAATTAAGGCTGTTTTTGGTTCATAAAGTCACACAAACATTATAAATTGACCTCACAAAAAAAAATATATATATATATATTTAACTCATGACAACAAAGAGCAGGGGTGAGCAAAGGAACAGCACAGGACAAAGAATTGAGAGAGGACAGGTTGCCACATCCTTCAGAAATCTCCAGCCTAAAGCCCACAGTTTTCAACTGCAAAAGAAATAGGCTGTAACATGGTGTATATACAGTACTGCGCAAAAGTCTGTGTAAACAGGTGGTGAGTATTTATTTGTTAAAAAACACACACAATAAAATAAACATAAATACACAAATAAACAATCCAATGTAGTTTTACATGTCATTGTGCCATCGATTTCCAATTCTCTCCTCGAGGAAGCCCAGTATTTACGGTTACCATCTAGGACCTAGACTTAAATGGATCCCTTCTCCCTATATAATCCACAACATAGGTCTAGACTTTGCATTACTTTTTCTAGACAGTGCATTACATGTCTAAGAGTCATTTGGAATTTGGCCACAGGCACATAACTCCCTACTGGACAAATATTGCAGTATTTGTGTGAAGAAGCTAAAATTTCATAATTCACATAGTGCACTGTGTAGGCAGTAGGGAGCTACTTGAGATTCAGCTCCAGTTTATCTAATCAGTCCTTCATTAAATTGACCTAGGTGTGCTGCTGATGGAATCCATGCAATGAGTACAGTGAGCAATCAGAAATCAACTGTGTTGTTCTAGCTTGACAAATATATTCATAATTGGAAAAAAACACTCTAACTGCAAAGATAAATTGTTTTAAATTTCATTGCTGCCTTAAACCTAAATAGTAAATTTATGACAAAAGGAATCCACCTCTTGTTATTAATTCTTTGTTGTGCTGATGATGAAAGGTACTTTTACTGTACTGCAGTCATTTCACCAAAGTAACAATATTTATCTTGAGTATGAGTTTAGACTATATTACAACTTCTGCTGCTAAACATCATGACACCCTTTAATCTCCTTTACACCTGACCCATTTCTTGATTGTTGCTGATTTATTAGCAGGCTAACATTTGCTTGCACCCCTCTGTCTCTCTTCTTGTGTGGTTCTTCAAATGAAAACTAAAATGAAAAAAAGCAAATCCAACAAGTCAGACACCTGAATGAAATCGAGTTATGCTGCACCACAGTTCTTTATATAAGACGTTAGCGCACTCACATACTTTCCATGCTTTGACATAAGCACCTCTTTACACCAGGCCTGGCCTGACCTGCAAATAAATACAATGATATAACATTTGCTGTAATGTTACACATCTGTTTCATGTTTTATAAAACAATGAGCTACAGTTCAATTTAGACAGATCTGATCAGTGAAAGAAAGAATCCTACCTTGGACATGAACAATAAGTAGACAAATGAGAACAACAAGAGCTGCAGCAGATTTCATTTTGCTCTTGTTCTTGAAGAAGCTCTTGGTGACGATTTGGAATTTGCTGGTTTCTGCTCAGACAGCTGTCAGAGTGAAGCAGTGATTGAACAACGACTGTCACTCTGCTTTTATATGCTCAGTCTTCATTTTTCCTGCTGTTTAGAGCTTTCAGCACCTGAATCTTGCTTCCTCTTCCTCTTTCTTAGTTCTTAGCTCTGGCTTTTAGGCAGCAGTTCATAAGGCCAGATTTCAGATTTCTTTGTCTGTATTCTGTCACTCTATAGACTGGCAAAAAATAATTTTTCAGTTTTAGTGGGGTTTGCAGAGTGGTCGATTTCATGCACAGACTCCTTACTGAGAATAAGCCATTCACTTAAACTAAACTTGAACATACTATGGGCTTTATTTGGGAATGTATTTGGACAAAGGAAACAAGGGAAAAAATAAGGAAATTAGCTAAGAAAAACTGCACAACAACAGTTCGTCTTCAGCTAAGATCACGGCACCTCCCGAAAGACATGTTGTATAGACACACCCCCTAAGCACTTCATGCACTCACAGTCACACGCCCAACTGACAGTAAGACATTCCCTTTAACTGTGCTCGAATATTCTGTAAGTTTTGCTGTTAGTGATGTATATTATCAACATATTCAAAAATGTGCTGCTCCCACTGAAAAAGCTGACTGACTAAATGAGCTTTTCTGAAAGTGAGTAACAGAATCAGCTCTGGAGACTGATCTAGTAACACTGTTACTTCTGCTTAATGAACCCAGCAAGTGTGGTTGGGGCTAAATGGGGAACTGGTTTAGCCCCAACTAATTTTACACTCCATTGTGGCCACATTAACTAAACTATTTTATCTGCTGGAGTTTCAGCTTCTTTCAGTGAATCCCTGACATCATAACCCGAAACATTAAATATCAGCTCATCTACAGATGCTGACAGGAAAGTTGATATTGAGCAAACATTGTTATGCATGTTGTTAATAAGTAACACATCACATTTGTATCTGTAGATTTCAGGCACCTTCATCAGGCACAGTTTATTATATTTCAGATATCAACATCAAAACCAGCAAAGTAAATAAAAAATAAACTTACTGAGTGTTTCAGAGAAGTCTGTACATTAAACATCTCACAGTATATAGATATAACATGACTTTTATAAATTAAACATCAGATATATTTACAGTATTTACAATATACAAGTAGTTTAAGCACATTTATATACATTGAAGTAGCTTAAGTATTTGAGGTAACTATAAATACAGTCAACAGGGTTCACTGTCTTAATGTTTTCAACCTCCTCTTCCACATCTTCACTGTAGTTGTGTCACAGGCTTCACTGCAGACTCACTGAAAACAAAAAATATTCATTTTAATTTGATCCCCTTTTGCTAAAACATATTTCAGTCTTCAGTGCTTTTTCACTGAATAACAGCTCAGAATACTGTAGAACTATCAGTCTTACTGTATTCAAGCTGATGTTCTCACCTCTTTTTAATGGCTCTCTTGATGTAATTCTGGGCAAAATCGGATTCTGGGTTCAAGCATTTTTGTCCTGCTCCGTTCTTCAAAGTGACACTAAAAGAGCCAAAACAAACCAGTTAGATGACTGAAAGGATTTTTTTTCTTTCTTTCTTTTTTTGTTTTTTTACGTCATTTGATTCTGAATTGATGAGGACTTACATAATTTCCACATTTTCACACGATGGACCAGCAGGATAAACTTCAACCTTCTCAACACGTTGTAGACGAACCACGTTCACCCCAGAACCTTGACATAGGCACCTCTTTACACTCGGCCTGGCCTGACCTGCAAACAAATACAATTATATACATTTTAGTTGTGGTATTAGATTTGTTTGTTTGTACAGAACACAATTAGCCAGAGTTTTAAGGTTTTTTTAGATCTGATCAGTGAAACAAAGAATCCTACCTTGTACGTGCACCATAAGCAGACAAGTAAGAATAACAAAAGCTGCAGCAGATTTCATTTTGCTCGTGTTCTTGAAGAAGCTCTCTTTGATGATTTGCTCGTTTCTGCTCAGGCAGCTGTCAGAGTGAAGCAGTGACTGAATGAGGACGGTCACTCTGCTTTTATACGCTCAGATTGGACTTTCTCTGCTGTTTTGGCGGACATGGCCTTTTTTGGAGCTGCTTTCTCTTCCTAAAGTCTTGCATCCTCTTTCTTGGAAATGTTTGACTTTCAGTCAGCAGGTCATTAGGCCCTGATGATTTGGATGTCTTATGTAACTGTACTGTCAGTCTCCAGACAAAACAAAAAATAATCATATAAATGCAGTAAAATCAGTCACATATTTTTGACTGTAAAAACAGAAATCAAATCCCTGCATGGCTCAAAAGCACAAATGTGATTCAGGCTTTGTGGGGTGTTCAACATGAAATTCTGAATGCCTCCTATAAATCTTACTGACAGTTCACTCACTGCACAAAGCTGGGTTTGTTCATTGTATTGCATGAAGCAAGAACACTGAAAGGATCGGCAGAGCACTGATGTACATTCCTGTATGTTAAAACAAGTTTACACTACAATCCATGTAGTGTAAATTTATATAATAATTGTCATGTTGTTGGAGAGACTTTACTTTAGTTTCAGCTCCATCCTGGCTCCACCCATTCATCATCACTTCTGCAGTCAGTTCATGCACTCATTAATACTCTTCTATACCGCCCCCCACCCCGTTTGAATTTGCAGTTTCCTTATTCCCAATTTCCTTAATATTTCTAGTGTTTTTTGTTTTGTTTACTCTTTTGTTCTGGTTGTGATTATTACTGTAACGCTGTGCATCATTGATTAATTTTATGCACCCATCACATGACACAGATCTCACAGCTCAGGAGGCGTGGCGATGCAAAGTGGCTGTGTGAAGAGGCTCTCGGGAGGTGCCATGATTCTGGTAAGAACTGGACTTCTTGATATTGTTGCTGGTTATTGGTTGGAGATGTATTCATATGTTGTAATAATATATATGTTATAATAATATGAATAATATGTATTCATATTATTGTGCTGGGCTGTGAGATAGTTGGAGTGGGTGCTAGTGTTTACCACGGAGTGAACTAGAAATGCCTAGAAATGACCTGCTGGCGATCGTGATGTATTCAGAAGTGCTGGGTGGGGGGTCTCTCTTGCTGCCTGTTCAATAAAAGAGCATTGCCCACATGTACAATGGTTTCCTCTGGTTTTTCTACGCTTAGCTGCTAAAATATAAAGTCTTCACATTAAGCTATAAACTGCTTTGGTGGTGCAAAACAGATTTCTAACTTTTTAAAAATGTTATTCCCACTTGCTCAACTTGTGTAAAAAAATCAACAGCTCTTTTGATCAGGCATAGTGTGGTCAAATCAAATCCTGTTTGCTCTCTACTCCAGTAATCTCTCTCTCTCTTAGTAAAGAAGCAGCCTAAAGACAATCATAACAACTACAGCAAACAATGACACCAGAAAAAGGACATTAAGTCACCTCCATCTGTTTATTCATAATAAATAAGTTGAAATGAGTTGAGAAAGTGAAAGAGAGAGCAGGAATTGTTCCTGCAAATTCATGTGTCATCCTGTTTTATTCATTAAGCTCATGCAGAATATGAATGAAGCATCTTACTAAGTGAGGTGTGATACACTTCATTTTCAACATTTACATACATACCAATGTTTATCATAAGTTAATTAGCACTGTATTAACATTTTTCACATATAAAAGCCTAGTGAGTAAACCTACTAACCAGAAAGCTGATGCTAGACATATGGATGTTAGCTGGCTATTAAGCTACCAAAGTCACTGACGCTGTGCCTACAGAATCTAATGCAGTGACCTCAACACTCTTTTGCCTTTGAGTTTCTAAAGAAAATGAGGTGTTTGGATTTGATCATTGTTTGGTCTGATTATTCATGCATTTCGTTTAGATTTAAGTTTTAGACTTGGTTTCATTACAAATTTGATGTGGCTTTTCTTCAGAAATACCTTCTTTCTAGCCACCCTCCCTTACATACCAGTAATAATATAACAATATCAGTTGTTCTCTGTAATTTCTATTTGTAAGTGAAGCAGATCCAGAGCTTTAATTCATACTCTAAACTGAGGCTTCCCCACCTGAAATTCTGTCTTTGTAGTTGTTTTGACTGAGAGTCAGTTTTACTTTTTGTTTTACAGTGCTGTAGGTTCCTTTTTCTTCCAGTCTTTTCATTTCTCAGAAACTTTCTCTGAATGCTGCTGAGGTCACGTGAAAGGGAACATCAGGGCTGAATTTCAGATTAATTTATAAAAGGGTGCAGAATGCAGACATTAGATTCAGGTGAAAGGTCTGCAGGCTGACTTGTTTCTTGTATCAGGCTACATTATTGCCATTAATTCCCATTCACATCCTATTTGGATCGTCATGATAGAGAGGAAAAATCTGAAAATTAATCTACACTGATGATTGCAACTGAAATTAATTCTAAATTAAAGCAAATAACAATACATTTTGTATACTTATGATGCACCAGTCAACACAGTAAAGCAGTAACTACAGGATGTTTGGACTTATCAAAACTGCAACTGACATTGAATATCAGACACATTAGCAGTCATTAGTATTATTTGTAACTGAATTTATACTTTTATTCATGTTGTTACAGTAACGTTAGTCAGTGTCTTACAATTTAATCTGCAGGATTTCTTGCATCACACGTGAAAGTGACACTCCTGCTTTGAAACTGATGTACAGTAGGAGGGTGTTAGTTTCTAAAAGTTCAGTACTTCCACCTTCACACCTGTGAAATTGAAACAAAATAGTTTATCTCTTTTTGAGTGGGAAGGAGTTCACATATCTTTAGTTTTTCATGCAATTTTTTACTTGATATTGTGGCATCCTATCACAGGCTGCACTGGCGCCAGAGCTCAGGAGGCATGGCCATGCAAAGTGGCTGTGTGCAGAGGCTCTCGGGAGGTGCCATGATTCTGGTAAGACCTGGACTTCTTGATAATGTTGCTGGTTATTGGTTGGAGATGTTTTCATATGTTGAGCTTTATTGTGCTGGACTGTGAGGTAGTAGTGCTAGTGTTTACCACAGAGTGAAATCATATGCCTAGAAGTGACCTGCCTGTTAGAAGTGCTGGGTGGGGGGGTTCTCTTGCTGCCTGTTCAATAAAAGAGCATTTGCCCACAAGTACAATGTTTTCCTCTGGTTCTTCTACATCTAGACACTACAATATAACGTTTTTACATTTCATCATAAAGTGCTTTGGTGGTGCAAAACAGATTTCTAATTTTTTAAAAATGTCATCACTTGCCCAACTAAAAAAATTAACAGCTCTTTTAATCACGCATAGTTTATTCAAATCAAGTCCTGTTTGCTCTCTATTCCAGTAATTCTTTGTCTCTCTTAGTAAAGAAGCTTTATAAAGACAGTCATAACAACTAAAGCACACAGTGACACCAGAAAAAGGACATTAAGTCACCTCCATCTGTTTATTCATAATAAATAAGTTGAAATGAGTTGAGAAAGTGAAAGAGAGAGCAGGAATTGTTCCTGCAAATTCATGTGTCATCCTGTTTTATTCATTTAGCTCATGCAGAATATGAATGAAGCATCTTAGGTGTGATACACTATTGTTGACATTTACTTACATACCAATGTTTATCATGTTATTAACACTGTATTAACATTTTTCACATATAAAAGCCTAGTAAGAAAACCTACTAACCAGAAAGCTAATGCTAGACATAAGGATGTTAGCTGGCTAGTCAGCTACCAAAGTCACTGCAGCTAGTTCTACTGCAGCTTGGTTCAGTTTATTGGTTTGTTGGCTTGTTTATTTATCAGGGATGATGCACATTAATCAACACAAACTAAATGTGCCAGTTTCAGCCAACTTGTTAACCTCAGCCAACTGTAGTCCCTGTGGCCTGATGCTATTATCCTAGACATAATAGACAATATACACACAGTAAGGAAAAAAAATAATACAGTTAGTTAAGAATAGGATAGATAGTGTGAAGACTACAGAATAAACATTTGAATGGAGTTAAAACATTTCCTGAAAACTTCAAATTCATGTACAGACTCCTTACTGAGAATAAGCCATTCACTTAAACTACACTTTAATATACTATAGGCTTTATTTGGGAATGTATTTGGACAAAGTGTTCTAAAAATGTGCTGCTCTCACTGAAAAAGTTGACTGGCTAAATGAGCTTTTCTGAAAGTGAGTAACAGAATCAGCTCTGGAGACAGATCTAGTAACACTATCACTTCTGCCTAATGAACCCAGCAAGTGTGGTTGGGGCTAAATGGGGAACTGGTTTAGCCCCAACTAATTTTACACTCCATTGTGGCCACATTAACTAAACTATTTTATCTGCTGGAGTTGCAGCTTCTTTCAGTGAATCCCTGACATCATAACCCGAAACATCAAATATCAGCTCATCTACAGATGCTGACAGGAAAGTTGATATTGAGTAAACATTGTTATGCATGTTGTTAATAAGTAACACATCACATTTGTATCTGTAGATTTCAGGCACCTTCATCAGGCACAGTTTATTATATTTCAGATATCAACATCAAAACCAGCAAAGTACATAAAAAATAAACTTAAGTCTGTACATTAAACATCTCACAGTATATAGATATAACATGACTTTTATAAATTAAACATCAGACATATTTACAGTGTTTACAATATACAAGTAGTTTAAGCACATTTATATACATTGAAGTAGCTTAAGTATTTGAGGTAACTATAAATACAGTCAACAACGTTCACTGTCTTAATGTTTTCAACCTCCTCTTCCACATCTTCACTGTAGTTGTGTCACAGGCTTCACTGCAGACTCCTGAAAACAAAAAATATTCATTTTAATTTGATCCCCTTTTGCTTAAAATATATTTCAGTCTTCAGTGCTTTTTCACTGAATAACAGCTCAGAGTACTGTAGAACTATCAGTCTTACTGTATTCAAGCTGATGTTCTCACCTCTTTTTAATGGCTCTCTTGATGTAATTCTGGGCAAAACTGGATTCTGGGTTCAAGCATTTTTGTCCTGCTCCGTTCTTCAAAGTGACACTAAAAGAGCCAAAACAAACCAGTTAGATGACTGAAAGGATCTGAACTGTTTGGTATTTTACATCATTTGATAATGAAATGCTGAGGACTTACATAATTTCCACATTTTCACAAGATGGACCAGCAGGATAAACTTCAACTTTCTCAACACGTTGTAGACGAACCACGTTCACCCCAGAACCTTGACATAAGCACCTCTTTACACTTGGCCTGGCCTGACCTGCAAACAAATACAATTATATACATTTTAGCTGTGCAAAAATACAATGAGCTACAGTTAAATTTAGATCTAATCAGTGACAGAAAGACTCCTACCTTGTACGTGCACCATAAGCAGACAAGCGAGAACAACAAAAGCTGCAGCAGATTTCATTTTGCTCGTGTTCTTGAAGAAGCTCGCAGTGACGATTTGCTGGTTTCTGCTCAGGCAGCTGTCAGAGTGAAGCAGTGACTGAATGAAGACCGTCACTCTGCTTTTATACGCTCAGATTGGACTTTCCCTGCCGTTTTGGCGGACACGGCCTTTTTTGGAGCTGCTTTCACTTCCTAAAGTCTTGCATCCTCTTAAACTTCTTATTTCTTGGAAATGTTTGACTTTCAGTCAGCAGGTCATTAGGCCATGATGATTTGGACGTCTCGTGTAACTGTACTGTCATTCTCCAGACAAAACAGAATAATCTTCCAAATGCAGTAAAATCAGTCACACATTTCTGACTGTAGAGAAACAGAATTCAAATGCCTGCATGGCTCAATAGCTCAAATGTGATTCAGGCTTTGTTCAACAGGAAATTCTGAATGCCTTCTACAAACTTACTGACAGCTCACTCACTGCACTAACAAAGCAGGGTTGTTCATTGTATTGCATCAAGCAAGAACACCGAAGAATCTATAGTGCACTGATGTACAGTCCTGTATGTTTCCAGTTTACACTATAATCCATTTAAATTGTCATGTTGTTTCCGCTCTGGAGAGACTTTACTTCAGCTTCAGCTCCATCCTGGCTTCACCCATTCATTATCACATTTGCAGCCAGTTCATGCACTCATTAATACTCTCATATACCCACCGTTTGACTTTGTAGTTCCCTTGTTCCCAGTTTCCTGAATATTTCTAGTGTTATCGGTTTTGTTTACTCCTTTTTCTGGTTTAGATTATCAATGTAAGATTATGCATCATTGATGAATTTTATGTACCCATCACAAGACACAGATCACATATGATTATTGCAATCAATTACATTTCTTGTAAATATATGTTATGCAGACTTCCAGAGCCACTGAAAGTAGTAGGGGAATGTAATGTGAAGCATAACCCAGTTTCTGATACAGCAGTGGTGTTCTGTGCAGTGGTCCTGATATCCACTATGCTCTCTTTCAGTGAGAATGGAAAAGGCCAGCACTGGTGACGATCTATGCATCAGTGAATGAGCTAAAGTTACAATATCAATCATTTTCTGTAATTTGATGTGGCTTTTCTTCAGTAATGGCTTCTGTCAGCCACCTTCACTTACATGCGAGTAGTAATATAACAACATCAGTACTTCTCTGTAATTATCCACTGTGTAATATGACCCAAAATCAAACCCACACTGTAGTGTTTATTTCATTTTTTTTATTGAAGTCATGTCTCAATGATGCCAACTATTCTCAACATGTTCATTGGTGAAACAGACAAAAGTAAAAAGTACAGAAAACTCCATACTTTAAAAGCAGCAAAATTATTTGCATTGAAAAAGAAGGACGATCAATCTCAGTTAGTTTGAAAATATCAGCGCAGTGAAAGTCCATGGCTGATGAACAGCTTCTCTCTGTTGTCCTCAGGGCGTCTCTGGAGTGAAACTGGAGCAGAAACAGTTCTCTACTGTGAGCGCCTACAAAACACCAAAAGCACTTCTGTGAATACAGATTCAGTGAGTAAAGTGTGTTCTATATGCCGTCAAGCAGCTTTATATCCGTCAATTCCTTATTGGTATAAAGATGAAGCTTCAAGTTATGCCAGATAGACATAAACTAACCTGGTTTCCATCATCTTCTTGATGAGCTCCTGGACAAAGTTGGACTCTGGGTTTAAGCATTTCTTCCCTGCTCTGTCCTTCATTGTGGCACTGCACAGAAACATGAGGATGAACATGGGCTGAGTGATTGAATCAATTCACATGTGTACTGAATGGCAGTGCTTATTACAATCTTAAGAATTAGAGGTTCTTTGGAGCTTTCGGTTCCGTAAAGAACATTTAAGTGGATGATTCTTTTAAAAATCTCAACTGAAAAGTTCTTAATGGAATCAAATGTAGTTCTTCTGTGGAATCCACAAATCGCTTTTTGGCATCTTTATTTTATGTTTTTAGTTATGGTCCTTACATGATCTCTTGTTTTCCACAGGAGGGGCTTGCAGGCAAAATTTCGAGCTTCTCCACCCGATTTAGACGAAGCATTTTGAGGCCACCATCAGCACATAAACACCTTCCTCTGGGCTCTCTTGCCTGTCCTGGAACACAAAGTGTCTTTCATGATGATCATCTAAAACAATAAGAATCAGTGCAAGCAGGTCTGCATTCAGTGATCAATGATTCTAATGTTTACATGAAAAGCTCCAGACTTTCTTACCCCTGATGTCGACCACAAGCAGACAGATGAGAGCCAAAGCTGCAACTGTCTTCATCTCAGTATCAGTCTTGAAGATCTGGTCAGGTTCAGAGACGGTTTGAAGTTCTACTAGAAAGTGAAACTGATCTAGTGCTTTAATTTATACTCTAAACTGGGGCTTCCCCACCTGAGATTCTGGTCCATGTTGTTGTTTTGACTGAGAGTCAGTTTTATGTTTTGGTTTACAGTGCTGTAGGTTCCTTTTTCTTCTAGTCTTTTCATTTCTCGGAAACTCTCTCTGAATACTGCTAAGGTCTCGTGCAGGGGAGCATCAGGGCTGAACTTCAGATGAATTTGTAGAAATTTGCAGAATGCAGACATGAGAAATAGGTCAGAGTTCAATAGGCTGACTTGTTTTAGGTTGAATTATTGCCATTGTTAGTCATTAGTTCTCATTCACATCCTAACTGGATACCTATGATAGAGAGGAAATTTCTGAATATTAACCTACACTGACGAGTGCAACTGAAATGAATTCTATATGTTCAGTGGCAAATTAAAGCAAATAACAATAAATTATATCATACACACAATACACTAATCAAAAAAGTCAAGCAGTAACTTCAAGATGTTTGCACTAATCAAAATTTTCATATTGGTTTTATACACTACTGTTGACATTTACTTACGTATATACTGTACAACAATTTAATATTACTGTGTGAACATTTGTCTTATGTAAAAGCAGAGTAAGTAAACCAGCTAACTGATTAGCAAGCTAGTGCTGGAAAATCACTGTTAGCTAGGCAGTTTGCTACCAAGCTGACTAGCATTATGCTTAGTGCAGTAACCTTAACTTTTTTTTCTTTTGCGCTTATAAAGACAATGAATCGTTGGTCTAGTTCAGGCATGTCAAACTGGGGAACGTCAAGTCCCAAGGGCTGCAGATATTAGCATTTATCCTCATTTAACACTCTGAATTCAGTTCATGAAGGCCTTGCTAATTGGCTGATGAGCTGAATCAGGTGTGTTTAATGAGGCAGTGTGCTGAAGCCTGCAGTGTTTTGGCCCATGAGGACTGGAGCCTGACACATATGGTCTAGTTCATCATAGATTTCCTTTGAATTAGATTTCAGCCTCGGTTTCACAACAAAGCAGTGAAATAAATGACTATCTGATTCTGAACAATTTTATCGGTTTGTTTGAGGAACAAGAGAAATCAGTTAGAGATCAATCAATAACTCGTTAATGGGGATTCTAAGACCCTTTTTGCCATAAGCAAAACAAAACTTTTTAAATTTGTTGAAGAGATATGGGTGAAATCAGCAACTGTCAACTGTAAAGTTCTGTAGGGAAACAAAATTTGGTTCTACTTGACATCTTTTTTAAGAGGGCATTTTACAGCATTACTCCAGAGTTCACTGGTGCACCATCACACAGTGAGACAGGCTGTTCTACTGCTGCTTGTTTTGGTTCCCTTGTTTATTGGTTTATTTATTTATTAGGGACGATGCACACTAATCAACACAAAGTGGATGTGCCAGTGTCAGCCAACTGGCAAACCAACTGTAATCCCCAAAGCCTGATATTATTACTTTTATTAGCCTAAAATAATAATAATAATACTAATAATATGAATAATAATAATGTACAGGAAAAAGGGAAGAAATAAGGAAATTAGCTAAGAAAAACTGCACAACAACAACAGTTCGTCTTCAGCTAAGATCACGGCACCTCCCGAAAGACACTTTGTATAGACACACCCCCTAAGCACCTCGTGCGCTCACAGTCACACACCCGACTGACAGTAAGACATTCCCTTTAACTGTGCTCGAATATTCTGTAAGTTTTGCTGTTAGTGATGTATATTATCAACATATTCAAAATGTGCTGCTCCCACTGAAAAAGCTGACTGACTAAATGAGCTTTACCTAAAGTGAGTAACAGAATCAGCTCTGGAGACTGATCTAGTAACACTATTACTTCTGCTTAATGAACCCAGCAAGTGGGCTAAACTGAGAACATACCAAGACAAGCATCTTCAAAATGTATTATATTTTCCCAGGTCATGAGGTCACAATTACAGTGGTGATAGGTCTTAGGTTTTCATTCACAAAGCATGTTTATAAACTCCTAAAATACATTTTAAACTGGCTTTGTGCCCAACTTATCAGACAATAAGTGAATCATTGCAAAAATATACACTTTTGCCGGTTTTTAATACACTTAAAATTACAGTGATACGTGTTATAATCTTTGTCACAACTTGTATTTATCTTTGTCACAACTAGTATTCTAAAAGACAGATTAGAATTAGGAAAAATGCCTCAATTATTTTTGGCTTATTGTTTACTGAGTGGCAGTGTGTTGGTGGATCCACAGTTTACACATTTTACTCCTAAACATTGCACTACAGTGTGGCCATATTAACCAAACTATTTAATCTGTTGTCCTTTAGTGAAACCCTGACTTCCATTACTCCACTAATTCAGCTGTTGAGATTGTCTAATATCATAACTGAAAAGTTCATTGTTAGTTCATCTACAGATGCTGACAGGAAAGTTATGAGCAAACATTATCATGTACGTTATTAATGAGAATTTATTACAGTTAAGACATCAACGTCAAAACCAACAAAGTACATAAAAAGAAAGTGTTTCAGAAAAGTCTGTACATTAAACATCTCACAGTATAGTTACATAACTGCATCACATATTTATATATATATATTAAACATCAGACATATTTACAGTATTAACAATGTACAAGTATTTTAAGCACATTTATATTTGAAGTAGCTTAAATATTTGAGGTAATTATATGTACAGTCAGTGGGGTTCACTGTCTCACAATGTGCTCACAATGTTTACAATCTCCTCTTCCACATCTTCACTGTTGTTGTGTCACAGGCTTCACTGCAGACTCACTGAAAAACAAACATAAAAAATATTCATTTTAATTTGATCCCCTTTTACTTAAAAATATATTTTGGTCTTCAGTGCTTTTCACTGAATAACAGCTCAGAGTACTGTAGAACTATCAGTCTTACTGTATTCAAGCTGATGTTCTCACCTCTTTTTAAAGGCTCTCTTGATGTAATTCTGGGCAAAACTGGATTCTGGGTTCAAGCATTTTTGTCCAGCTCCGTTCTTCAAAGTGACACTAAAAGAGCCAAAACAAACCAGTTAGATGACTGAAAGGATTTGAACTGTTTGGTATTTTACATCATTTGATTCTGAATTGATGAGGACTTACATAATTTCCACATTTTCACACGATGGACCAGCAGGATAAACTTCAACCTTCTCAACACGTTGTAGACGAACCACGTTCACCCCAGAGCCTTGACATAAGCACCTCTTTACACTCGGCCTGGCCTGACCTGCAAACAAATACAATTATACATCATACATATCTTTAACTACAGTATTATATTTGTTTGTTTGTACAAAATACAATAAGCTATAGTTAAATTTAGATCTGATCAGTGAAAGACAGAATCCTACCTTGTACGTGCACCATAAGCAGACAAGCGAGAACAACAAAAGCTGCAGCAGATTTCATTTTGCTCGTGTGTTGCTTGAAGAAGCTCTCTGTGATGATTTGCTGGTTTCTGCTCAGGCAGCTGTCAGAGTGAAGCAGTGAATGAATGAAGACCGCCACTCTGCTTTTATACACCGAGGATGGACTTTCCCTGCCGTTTTGGCGGACATGGCCTTTTTTGGAGCTGCTTTCACTTCTTGATTGTTGCTTCTTCTTGAGTTTCTTGTTTCTTGGAAATTTTTGATTTTTAGTCAGCAGTTAATAAAGCCAACTTTTACCATGATGATTGGCGTCTGTGCTCCTGTGTAGCTGTACTGCATCATTCTTCAGACCAACACTGAATAATTGACAACATTCTAAAAAATAGCACAGAATAATATTCCAAATGCAGTAAAATCATATGTAACATATTTTTGACTCTAGAAACAGAAATCAAATTTCTGCATGGTTGAAAATCACAAATTTGAGGCCAATACAATTAAAATGGAAATGATGTCTACCACAAGGAGACAGATGAGAGCAAAACCTGCAGCTGTATTCATTTCACTCCAGGTCTTGGTCTGGTCAGGTGCATTAGTAAGTGAAGGTTATCCAGTGCTGTAATTTTAATTTTAAACTGGGGCTTCCCCTGTGAAATTCTGTCTCTGTGATTGTTTTGAAGGCCAATTTCACTTTTGGTTCAAATGGTGTAGGTTGTTTTTGTTCTGGCCTTTTCATTTCTTAAGAACAATTTCTCTGATCTGAATTTTTTATACATGAAACATTTGTGAAAGGATCCACATTAGCTTTACCGGCCAAGTACGCTTGCATGTACAAGTGTCTCGGGCAATTACTACCAACATGAATGGCCAATACATAATGCAAATAATTAACAAATAATACAATAAACAGAGAGACAGCTACAAATGCTATTGTACAATATGCAGTTCATACAGTCATATGCAAAAGTTTGATTTTCTAAGTGAGAATAAGTTAATACAGCCTCTGTACTGGAGGAACAAATTTAAATATGGCATGTTTCTGCACATTTTACTTTAACATACTGGAGAAAAATTCAATGTAAAATGTGCCATAACTTTTGCCGAAGTCACGTTTTATGTTTTATCCCCCGTGTGTTAAATTCCTCAAATAAACAGAAATTGCACAGTAAAATGTACAGAGGTATGTTCTCTGTAGAGGATGTGTTCACTTTTATTCATTTAGAAAATCAACACAGTCTCATTTAACCAGGTGCGCCCAAACTTTTGCACACGACTGTATTTCAAATGTACTGGATATTTACAGCAACGATAAATTATTTTAAAGAGTATAGAAACGAGGGCCATAGTCTCCATCTCAGATGCTCTGCCCACACCTGGACGAAGAGTCTGAGTTGGCCACCACTGTTGGGATTTGGCATTCTGATTGGCTCTCTACGCGTCCATTTAAACACATTTCTGAGTGGAATGTTTATGAGCCCAGTGGGAAATTAACATTTGCAAGCAGTTGCTCACTCTGCTCGCCATGACTGAGCCTTTCAGAGCAGCATCATTGCTGGATTCGCTGTTCAAGAGTTTTGTTTGAACCATGTAGTAGATTTCAGCGAGACACCCAAGTGTGTTGGTTTCAGTGGTCGTCATGATTTGAAAATCTTCTTCCCTCGCACATCACACTAAAACAGCGGCCTGTGGTCGGTCATTCTGTATGTCGGTCAAATGGTCTTTCCTGGCAAAGTAGACGGTTCTTAGCCATGTAAAGGAAGAAATGCACCAGACTCTCTAACCACAGACAAACATCTTTGTGAGACTAGCTGTACAACAACATGAATATTAATAATTATGATTTGTTTTAAAGTATTTTGAGCATTTTCAAATTGTGAACCCAGTATCGCAAATTAAATTGAATTGCCCCATTAATGAGAGTTTGCTGAGTTGACTTGCTTCTTTTCTTGTGTTGAATTATTGTAAAAAAAAAAAAAGACTGCTGTATTGCATTTTATTTACCAACATTTTTCAATATTTCACAATAAACCATCAAAAGTTTAGGTGTCAAGAAAGACTTATTGATATTTTATTTTTACTGACTAAACCAAACATTTGCTGTGTTTTCCTCAGTTCCAGTGATTCTCACTCTTCTTTAAGATTAGAATTTACAAAACACTGAAGTGAATACACCATTATATATCATCACTGTCATAACAAAATGTTGTATCTCTAAAATGGTAACTTTTTTAAGGAGAAGGAAAAACCATTCTTAACTAACATACTTTCATCAAGAAATTTAACACAGTGCCAAGGGCAACTGGGCTTTTCAAGTTATGCGAAAAAGAGAGTTTAAGTCATTACTTTGTGACTGAATTGCACATTTACACATGATGGTACATCTCTGAAACACAGATGTCTGAAAGTGGTCACTGCATGCTGGTTAAGAATGACTGAATATGCCATCACTGCATCCAAAGAGAAACAAGTATCTCGAAAAAGGTAACTTTACAGAAGAGGGAAAAAAAACGTTCTTTACTTTCAAAGTAAGTTAATCTAAAGAGATTTTATATTGAGCAGTTTTGGAGCATTTCAATTCAGTTCAGTCATCAGGAAACTTTCAGACAATGTAAAGGACAGCTTTCTCCAATGATGTAGAAAACTAAAAATCCACTTTGGACACTGATGATATACAGTTACTTTGGTCAGTGTATTACAGTTTTATCCGCACTGTTTCTTACATCACACACGGAAGCTGATGACAGATTGAAAGTAGGAGTAGTTTTAGTTCAGTTTCTACTTCCAACTGCACACTTATGAAACTGAAGCAAAACTGTGTGGTTCTCATTATTGGGAAGAAGTTCAGTTCACCCCCAAACTCTTCATTCCTCCATCTGATCCAGATTTAGAACTAGAAAATGCTGACATTAAGAGTTCATGACTGCACAGTAACAGGAACCAGTTCCTACGAAGGGTATGTGGAATGGAATGTTGTTTTTTTGATTTAACAATGAAAAGTGCTCAGTAGGTGTGAGACAAAAGAGCAATATAGCATCTTTTAACAATATTTTGGGTTTAAATCACCCAGAAATCAAAATTGACCTTTTTTTTACTTTTTTACTTCACATCCTTGATCTTGTTAAGCATCTCAGATTGCTAGAGGATGGTGGGCCACTGTTGGCCCACTGATAGCAAAGCTGGTGACTCCACTGGCTTTTTGCTCAACGTTTTCCTAGTGGCCCATCAGTGGTCAAGCAGAGTGTTAGATAAAATGCCACTTTTCATCGCACATTTTCTACTCACAATCCAGTTTCTTTTTTTGTTATCCTTTGTAAATTAGTGAAATATGTCACAGCACAGAAGAAAAATACATTATGATTTCTGATTCACATTGACCTTAAACATAATATGGATATGCAGAGGCCCAAGTATATTGGGGACTGAAGACAAACCCATCCAGCTTTTAAAGCAATTTTTTGTCATTCTCATGCAGAATGTAGCTTGGTGTTGTCACGCTTTAATAAGCATGGACGTTCCTGAAAATGGCGGCATCTAGAATGCAGCATACATTGCTACATAATGTGTTCGAAAAAGAAAATGTCAAAAAAAAAGAAATTGCCCCCGCAATAGGAAACTTGGTGTGAGAAAATGAAAAAGGGAGTCTTTTTCACCACAGGCCACTTTTCATAGTAAGTTTGAAGATTAAAGTGCCCAATTAAAAGCTGTTTAGCTAGCTTTAAAACTGCTACTAAACTAACTAGCAATGTTGACCAAAATGTGCAAATAATGTTTCTGTTTAAATTGTTACGTAACATCAGCTATCATCTTAAGTGGCTATACAGCATGCTTTTTTGCAGAGGAATTATAACCACAATAGCTAAAATAATGCCATTGTTAGCTGGTTAGATGCTATTCTTCATGACTGACTCGCACTTCTTTTATTACTAGTTAAGGACATCTGAAATTGGTCTGCAGTCGACCTGGAAAAGATGTTTATAAAGACGTTGTAAAACTCTTTTTTGACCCTTGTAAAGATATCTTGTGGATGTCAGTGTTGAACGTTTGGGACAGTGGCTTTTTGAATGAGGCTCAATATGTGACAGCCAATTAGAACAGAGCTTGTTTAAATATATCTGTCTTAAAGGCATAGTAACAAGAACAGCCTGTTTAATTCAAAAGGATAAAGACAGGTTGGATAGCGTGAAATGATGAGGATGAAATAACTAAATAATCAAACAGTTACAAAATGAACTTGCTTTTAATTCTACTTTTAGTAATGACAGCAGACAGTTAGAATGAGAGGCAGAGCAGCACAGGGAGAAGAAGTGAGAGAGGAACTGGTGCCGGAGGAAGAAGTGAGAACAGCAAAACAGGTACAGCAGTGGTACAAGAAGCACAGGCAGTGCAGAAGTGCTTCTAGAGGTAAATTATGCTAAATGAAAATAGATTTAATATAAATCTCTAATAGTGTTAAGCAGCTACCAGCTACAATTACAATACAGGTGCCAAGTAAGAATGAATTTGCCTCATCAAAAGCATTTTTTGCTCACAATGGATACCCCCTTAAATGGCCAGGGCCCATTACACACTTCTATAACCTAAGAATAACTCAGCCAGTTTGCACTGAAGTCCCTGTAGTTACTGGATAGTAAGCCTTGGTCTGTAATATGCCTGGGATTTTAAGGGGTTAAGCTAGGTGGCCTGGCTCAACGTATCAGGGGAAAGCTCCAGTGTCCCCTCATTATCTCATTGACTAGACACTGGAGCTATTTAGACAGTTGTGGTTGCACAGTGCATAGGAGAAGAAGTTTGTCTTTGTCTGTGGAATCTACACATAGTTTTATAAATGAGGTCCCTGCGCATATATGGCTGTCCTGAAGGCCTTGACTGAGTGGGTCAGATGTAAAATAGAACTGAAACTAATTCTTCAGGATGGTAGATCCCCAGGATCAGAGTTGGACACCACTCAGTATTTTTGCTGGTTTCTTTCAGTGATTCCATACTTTCACTTACTTCACTGGTTTAGTTGCTGAAATATTCCTAATATCATCACTGAAAGTGAAATATTACCTTAGCACACATACACGAATATTGGTATCCATACTGAAAGGTGATACTGGGCAGACATTTATTTGAACATTGCATGGCATGTTGCCAAAAAAGAGCACAGTACATTCTTTGAAGGTTTCAGGCAGCATCATGAACAAAATTTATTTTTTTATTTTTATTTCATACACAGACAACAGTTAAAACATCAAAAAATACAAAACTACTTTGTATTTCAATTACATATTACAAAATAAATACATACATATACATATAGTATGTACATATATACAGTATTTATGGTTAATAGGGCTTAATGCAGGATGTTTACAGCCCCCTCTTCCATCTTCATTGCCATTGTGTTTTACTGGGTGCTCCTAAACAAACATAAACAAATATTTTGTCATTTTCTGTTGGTCTTCCATGCCTTTTCAATGATTAATAACTTAGAATGATAATTACTATGAATGTATTCCAGTAGATGTTCTCACCTGTCTTGAATGGCCTTCTTGATGTAATTCTGGGTAAAACTGGAATCTGGGTTCAAGCATTTTTGCCCTGCACCGTTCTTCAAAGTGACACTAAAAAGCAATTTAAAGTTAGATCCCTGAATGTAATAGACTTAAGTTGCACCACACGTCTTTAAATGAGAAGTTACGGAACTCACATAATTTCCATGTTTTCACAAGCTGGACCATCCGGATGAATTTCAATCTTCTCAACACGTTGTAGACGAACCATGTTCACCAGAGAACCTTGACATAAGCACCTCTTTACCCCAGGCCTGGCCTGACCTGCAAACAAATACAATTATATATAATTTACTGTAATGTTACACATCTGTTTTATGTTTTATAAAACAATGAGTTACAGTTATATTTAGAAAGATCTGATCAATGAAAGAAAGACTCCTACCTTGTACGTGCACCACAAGCAGGCAAGCGAGAACAACAAAAGCTGCAGCAGATTTCATTTTGCTCGTGTTCTTGAAGAAGCTCTCTGTGACGATTTGGAATTGGCTGGTTTCTGCTCAGGCAGCTGTCAGAGTGAAGCAGTGACTGAATGAGCTCTAGTCCTCTTTTATACGCTCTGATTGGCCTTTCCCTGCTGTTTTGTAGCAACTTTCACTTCCTGCATCTTGCTTCCTCTTGAATTTCTTATTTCTTGGAAAAGCACTGGCTTTTAGGTAGCAGTTCATAAGGCCAGATTTCATCATGCTGATTTGTATATCTTACTCTTTTTTCACATTGCGCCACTCTTGGCAAAAGTAATTTTCAAATAAAAAAAAAAAACAAATTAGCCACTGGGAGCATACTTTCAGCTGGAGAAATGATGGGACTCATTTAGCTGACACTGTACCAATTAGACACACAATTCATTGATTTTAAATTTTTGAATTAAAAAGGATTTGGTGTTGATACCCAACAGCGATTCAATTTAGCAATTCAAGCTTCTTTAAGAAATAATATTATGCATCAAAAGTATTCCTAAAAGACTTCCTCTGATATGTGTCAGGCAAAAAATGAAAAATATTTTCACACATAAAGGAAAATAAATTCCAGTTGAAAACACTAAAGACAAGGTTCTTACCACAGGCAGTCAGACTGATGCACATTCAGACTGAACTTGGTCCTGCTCCCCACTTTATGTGTTGCACTACACCTACTGCACCCAGACAATTTACCCATGAAACATTATACTTCACTCACTTTATATGCACAGACACTTTAATCCGCACACATTGACTGCAGTTGTTCTTGTTTATGCTGCTAAGAACTATTAGTAATTATCAGTGGATAATATTACTGCTGTGGGCCAACAGCAGGCCTATTTCTTTCCCCAACCCTATTGTACACCGTCCAGTCTCTACTGTCCTGTGCTTAAGAGTTGTTTTTGTTTTATATAGTGTTTGTGTAGTTTACTGCCTATATTTTATTTCACTGTGGGCTGCTGCTTTCCTGTGTTGAATGTGCAACCTGTCGTGGTGTAACTATATTTCATTCCTTATTCAACACATCTGTGTTGAGAAAGAATGACAATGAAGTTGAACTTGACTTTGGCTTTGACTTTGACTTTGGATTTTTTGTGATATCTGGTGCCACATTTTAAAAATACTGTAGTCTCCCCTACTGACTTATTCAGCCATGAATGCGCAGGAGACGTGAACATGCAGAGCGTAGATTCAGAGCACCAAGAGAACACCAGACTCGCAGTAAGAGAGACCATTTTGTGTAAATAAAGTGTTGTGTTAATGATGTTATTTGTGTATAATCTGTGTTTGGTTATGGGGCAGTTGGTGTGGGTTTACTGTCTACCATCAACATAGAATGAGTGGCTAGAAGTGACCTGCCTGCTATCCTGGCCATTCAGATAGGGCTTCTGTACTGCTGCTGTGTTTAATGAAAGAGTTATGTTTCCTGCATCTTCTTCTTCGCTGACACCAAAATATTATCAAAAGCTACAGTATGAATTCAGTTAAATGCATTCAGAATTTCACAGACAGGGCTGCACTAAATCCAATATGACAGAACTAATTATGCCTGTTCAGGGTGTTTTCTGCCTTCCGCCCAATGACCGCTGGGATAGGCTCCAGCACGCGACCCAGAAGGATAAGCGGGTTTAGAAAATGTGTGTGTGTGTGTGTGTGTGTGTGTGTGTAATTATGCTCTCTTTGTAATCCCACAATCAGTTGGGCAGTGATTTTTAAAGTGATGATATCCACGATATTCTCATAAAAGCATGTTGAGACATATTGTGATGTAACAATTTTTGATTTCAACATTTCTAGTGCTACTAAGACTAGATACCTGCTTCCTTTCAGCATGGTTATTTTGTTACTAGATGTGCCTAATCTCTAACATACATTACCTTACCAAGACCAGTCTCTACTATTTTTCTAATAACATAACTGAAAACTCATGTCATCTCATCCTGCATTTACAGATACTGATAGGAAAGTTGGTATTGGACACACATTATTGTGAGCACTTATTTGGCATGTTGATAATGAGTAACACATTGCGATTTCTTTCTGTTATGTGAATAGTTTATTGTAGTTCAGACAGGAAAAACAGTTAAAACATCAAAACAAAGTATTACTAAATATAATCTCTGTAAATTTTGTGTATTAAACATGTCAGTACACCATTATATCCTTCTCATAAATTAAATAACAAACATATTGTATATGTACAGTTTTTACAATATCATAACATAGGATTTTAAAACTAGTGATGTTCACAATCATCTCTTTCACATCTTCACTGGTGTTTTGACACATGCTTTACTGGGCACTCCTGGAAAAAAAAACAAACACATTACAGTCTTTATTGGCCAAATTTCAAATGTAGAAGGATTTTCTCTTGTAAGTGAGAATATATACCTTACGTATATATACAGATGTTATATAATACAACAAATATTTTCTACCTTTTACTGAATGATAGCTCAAAATAATGTAGAATTAACTTTGTGTATTCAAGTTGATGTTCTCACCTCTTTGCAATGGCTCTCTTGATGTAATTCTGGGCAAAATTGGATTCTGGATTCAAGCATTTTTGTCCTGCACCGTTTTTCAAAGTGACACTAAAACAGCAAAAACACACCAGTTAGATGGTTGAATGGAATTTGGTTATATAATTTATACTTCATTTTTGCTATGAAATCTTATTAGACTTACATAATTTCTACATTTTCACAAGATGGACCAGCAGGATAAACTTCAACCTTCTCAACACGTTGTAGACGAACCACGTTCACCCCAGAACCTTGACAAAGACACCTCTTTACGCTTGGCCTGGCCTGACCTGCAAATAAAATGATCGCTATATAATTTGCTGTATAATTGCAAATTCAATCAGTGTTCTATGCCTGTCAGAGTCATATTTGCCAGGATGTGACAAATGAAAGAAAGAATCATACCTTGCACAACTGACAGACAAACAAGGAAAACAAAAGCTGCAGCAGTCTTCATTTTGCTCTTGTTCTTTAAGAAGTTCTTGAGGGTTCTGTTGGTGATGCTCTTGAAGATGCTCCAGATGCTTTGAGGATGAGCCAGTGCTTATCTAGTTTTATATGCTCAGATTGGGCTTCCCCCTCTCCCAACTCTTCATTGGCTACTTTCAGTTTCCATAGCACAGCCTCCTCTCAATTTCAACTTCCTTCTTCCAAGGAACTTCCAGTGGCAAAATTCCAATTTCATCACTGCTTGTTTTGAAATGAAGTCATGAATACAGTCTGCAGTTTCGTTACTCCATGCTGGGTCTGGATGCAAGTTATTTAATGCAGCTACAGATTGTAATTACATACGTGCATCTGATTCCTAGACTTAAAATAGTGTTAATCTGTTGGCAAATATTCTTTTGGCTTGTCGTCCAGCCTCTGCCTCTGTCTTGATACTGAGTCTGCTGCCATTGTTGAATGACAGCTCACTAAGGCTTTGAGATACATGGCAACAGTACATTGTGCGGAATATGCAATGAGCTTCTAATATGTCCACCCATTTGCTGCACGACCCTCCAATGTTCTGTCCAATCTTTCCTGAACTGCAAATGCATGAAGAAGAAATGTGTTTTGCGTTTTCCATGCTCTCGGTACATTAACTGTGCATTTACAACCTGTACAGGTTCATACGCACAATGCGGACGTAATGCGTCTAAAGTCCTATTCAAGCTGGATTCGTTTTACCAGCGGAGGTCAGACTGTGGCTGTCACAATCATAGAATTTTAACTGATGATTAACTGTCACATAAATAATTGTGATTAACAATTAAATTGTATTGCTCATTGAATTCAACTGTTAAATTATAAGCCTAAAGAGGCCAAATTATAGAGGACACTTTGCTCTGGAAATATTACTTACCAGACTTGTTACATTGCAGATTACAACTTGCAGAAATTGCAGATTCATACTGAATTAAAATCACAAATCTCATCAGTAATCTCTCAGATTACAGCATCTCCCCAGATAAAACTAATCCAGCTCCAATAGGGCTTAATTTGCATGTAAAACTCCTGTAAAAGGCTTTGTTTGTTAGAGTCTTACATTTTTTAAGCTTTTAAACTGTTTGTTTATGCAGTTTTTAACTATTTGTGCATTTGAATAAAATCACACTTCATGCTTTTGTAAAAGTAATAGTTGCTTTGAATGTCATGTACTTTTTTAAATATTCCACTGTAAGATTAGGATTTGGAATTCTTTGTAATAGTAAAACTTTAGAGAAAAAGGAACTACTTTGGGGTTGCTCAATGTGGGTTTATTTGTTTCTTTTTTTAGAAGATGTGAAGGACATGCTTCTCTTCAGAAGGACAAATGAAACTGGAACTGAACCTTCTGCTCTTTTCCAAAGGAAACTAACCATCCAGTATCCAAAATGACAAACATGCGCAGCATGTGGTCTTGAGTGTTCTGATAGAAGAGGCATTGATTACTTACTTCATGCACTTCTTCCCTTTCTAAGGGAATTGGAATCATAATGATGCAGCAGGAAAAATCAGAAAATTATTGTTTTCAGCTCTAGAGATGAAATAATCAAATAAATGTTTATTGCTAAAATATTTCTGTTTGATGTGGCCACAGAACATTTCTTTCAGAGGAAACACTGCAGCAGATTTGGCAGCGATTCTCAAGAGAAAAAGAAAGACAGGTCTATATTTTGGATGATGCATCTTTAAGAATGATATTTCATTAAAGTTTTCCATTCCCTCACAATAATGATACTGTGTGAATCCTCTGCAGCTCTGCGTATGAGGAGAGGATGCTGTTTACCTGTTGAGGTGCTGAAGCCCTCTGGTCAGTTGTTGAGTTGTGTGAGTACCATAATCACTGTATATTTTTCCAAATAAAGTGCATTTGGTTTATTTGGTTTAAAAGACACTTATGACTAAGGTGTGACCACACAGTTAAAAAAGAGGGTTCTTCAAGGGTTCTTTAGTAAAGGCAGTGGTTCTATTTGGAACCATGAGTTCTATATAGAACGATTTCATGCTTAAATGGGTCTTTGTGTGGTGGAATCTTCAGACTAATGGGGAATGTGTTGTATATGGTTGTATTTGGTGTTGGTATAGATAGAACCTTTTTGAAAATGGTTCTATAAAGTGCCAAAGCAGGTCTTTCTGTTATTACAAGCTTGACATTCTAAAAATAGTGAACCAATTTTGTGATATACAGAATAATTTTCTCCATTAATCTGAAAAAAGTGTTAAGGGAAAAGAGGGCAGACTTTCCCATGTGAAAAGTTTTTTGTTTTTTTTTGACGCTAACCAGTTTACTTTTTGTTTCACAGTTGTTTGGGTTCCTTTCCATTTGCTTTTTCATTTCTTGGAAACTCTTTCTTTGATTGCTGCTGAGGTCTTTGCAAAAGTGTGTAGAGTTGCTGTGGTCTGTGGTCGGATTTTACCTGGTGGAAAATGGCCTTGCCGTCAACTGGACAATTTATTTATCTTCTTTTTAATTGTTGCGAAATTATTCAATTGTAAGAATAATTATAAAGTGGTAAGAAATGTAGAACACAGAAGACTTTTCAGTGCATCAATAGGCCCTTTTTCCATTTCTGCATTTGTTCTGCTGGATGTTGGCCTACTGATTGCAGGATTACTCCGCTTACACTAAATCAGCAGCAATAATGATGGCCAAGTAGAGCTTGTACAAGTGTTCGAGCCCAAAGAAAAAACAACCTTACCTCAGTATTGATGGCTTCCTAACTGATAATGGGCAGAGGAAAAAAATGCTTTTTGCCATTTGGAAGTGTCAGCATTTCACTGCTATGAACTTACGTTACACTGAACAGTTTACGCTTTAAAGTCGGTTCTGTTCTAAGCCACTTTCAGTGGAACAGTTTTCATGTTTACCCTCAAATACTGGTGGCATTTTAGAGAGCGAGTGCTTGGCAGGGACAAGATGGTTGTGTTACAATTGAATTCCTCAAGTAATGTGTTTATTTAAGAACCACAGCCAAGGAGAAGCTCCTGGTAAAAACCCAGAGATCTTCACCTGAAGCAACGTTACATGAGATTAAATAGTCCCCAGAACAGGGTGTTGGTCCATCTCATTGGTCAACAGAGTACAAAGAAGTTGCAATCAATTGGTTATACCTAATTGTGAAATGAATGAACAAGAGAGTGTTAATATATATGCAAAATAAATGAGAAGGAAGGAAACACATGGTCAAACTGGTCACATCCAGTGTCTTAGTGGTGCTCTAATCTGTATCATGCTTGACTACAGAGTGTAAATGTATTGTGAATATAAAAGTTTTATGATTAACCACATAATCTTCTGTTTATACATGAATTTACTATTTCCATACAAACATCTACAGTGGTGCTATGGGTCATGTTGACGTGCCCCACTACCGGTATGTATGCGTGTTTATTTCTTGTCAACTAGTTACTTGTTTGCAAGCTGTTTCACATTTCCAGCATGGCTAATGAAGCTTTTTGGTTGCAGTTATTTTCACCAATGCATTGTTTTATCACTGATTGTACTCTCATAGCTCTGACATGATTCTTCCATGAAAAATGTAAATCCTTTATTCAGCTTGGACCACATTGTATGTTTGGTGTTCTCCAACAATTCTGGACACATCCTCGAATTTTAATCTGGGCAACTATGACAAACTATGATAAAGTGACATACCTTTCCATTGAGAGCTGAAGTTATATGAGCAGCAATATTTCTGAGGTTAATAATGCATAAAGCAACAGCAGATTTTGTGTTAACCAGCATTTGCGGACTTCTGTTTCTTGTGAGAAGGACCTGTGAATGCTAGACTGTGTGGCAATGTGGCATTTACTCTACAGTGCTATTGGTGTAGCTAATTGATCATTCTCATCCAAAGTACAGTATGACTTGGACACACTGAGTGATGTAGAGAATATAATCTTGCATTTCCTTCTAGCAAGTTAAGAGTATTAAGCAGTGGTGCCAGAAAACTATAATCCTAAACTGGACCAGATTTGGTTGTCCATCAGGTCCTTCTGTTTGCTTGTTAACTGGCTAATGAAGATGCAAAGTGTTCTAAAACTGATGTTACTGTACTTGTTCAGTTTTGTTCACTGTAGAACTGAACAATTTGGGACCAATGTTTCATTTAATTGTGGGATTTGATTGTGATTACTTTCTGTACATTTAGAACTAAGATAACTCCATCAAAACATGAAAAGAGAGCCATGTTTAGTGAGTTAGGTTCATTTTTGCCTATTTGTTTTTCTATCTTCAGTAAATTTCGAACAGTGGGCGAAAACGGGTAAAATGCTCAATTGTTAGCAATCAAGACAATCAGCTTTCATTCAGTTTCAGTCTGCAATTGACATAGAACAGGTTGATTTCTGTGGACTGTGAGAGCTAAACAGCCATTAACAAATTACATCACAAGTGGCGATCATTGGGGTCCAAGCACTATATGGAGCCAGGGGAACACAAATAAAGGGCAAACACTGTAGAATATTTAATAGATTTGTAATAGATGAGGGGTCTTAAGAGACAACATCTGCCAAAGTTTGTACACATTGGCCTTGGTATGAACTTGGTATTGAATAGTATTTTTTTTTTGCAGTTTGCATTGAGTTGTTGAACTCAATGAAGTAAATAATTCACCAACAATTTTCACCCCCTCCATGTTTTATTCTCATAGTGCATCAGAATTTAATGTCAAAATCACTCAAATTTTCTGCAATAGGGGTTTTAGTTTCTGAACATTTTTCACTGCTCATGAATTTTCATGTCTGCTAAAGATATATACAGTTTTTAACTGTTCTAAAATGGTATGCATGATTCTAGGTTATACAACAGTTGGTTCCGCCATGCAAGGTTTTTCACAAACTCCTAAACACCTAAACAACCTGGAATTAGCCAGAAATGAACTGAATACCATTCGGCAAACAAAATGGGCTGTAAGATGCTTTACTTGCTGGAATAAAACAACGTTAATATTGATCTGGCAAAAATTGAGCTAAACAAAACTGAGCTAAACTTGATATTGCGGCAGTTTTATGGCTCAGTCTGATTTGGTCAGAATCTGAAGATGAGA